AGCTACCACGCTGTTAGATTTCTTTGATAGCAGTGTACAGGCTTCATCTGATGCATTCTGTGTGTTAAATCCTAAATTAGCAGGCTTTTTTTTAAATAGACAATGAGTCTGCAGCTCAGAAGTTCTCAAAGCAAGGTTCCCTGGAGCGGCAGCCTTTGCACCTGTGAATCTGTTAGAAGGGTAAAATCTCAGGCCCCCCCCACCCCCAAGGCCTTCAGAAACTTGCAGGTAGAGCTTGGTAGTCAGTGTCTTAGGAACCTCTCTAGGTTATTATGAAGCAGATTTAAGTTTGAGGAACACTGTTGTGAGGGGCAGGGAGGTCAGGATGGGTTAGGAGAGTTACCCGAAGAGGCTAGTACTGCTTAAAGAGAATGTCCACTGGGCTCGAATCCTGGCTCTGCTACTTGCTCTCTGGGTGACTTTGGGAAAACAGCTTCTCTGTTCTACTCAAATTCCAACTGAAAGAATTGTCATCTAATCACAATAACTGCAAGAGGAATAATAATCAGACAACAATCCTAGGGTTGTCATGAGGGATCAAATGAGTCAACATGCAGAATGCATTTACAGTGGTGCCTGCCACTTAAGGTGCTACCTGTAATTACCACGTAAGTGATGAAGTTATGTTGAAGAGTGGGAATTGACCCACACCAAAAAAGGTGTGGAGGCAGGCCACGTAACTTGGCTCTGATGACAGATAGATGACACTCCACAGTTCACCTGTATTTATTGACCTTAGCTCTATGCATGACATACTCTTTAGTGCTGGGATGAGTGAAGGGGAAGACTTCATAGGTCCGCGGAAGGTTTTATGGATGGGTTTTTTGACTGCCAACTCTGGCCTAGACTCCACAATCTTGAAATGATCTAATATCCATAATTCCAGGCAATTTTTAGTCAATTTCAAAATGTGGTTCTCAATTATTCTCATATACATCAGAAGACACACCAGGGGGCCAGAGTTACAAAGCACAAAGGCATTTAACTGCTTGTCTATCTGATTTTAATGTTCCATAAAAGCTATTTTTTATCGAAAAATCTGAGCTTTTACATCGAGTGATGATTTGACATTAATGCATATTCCTCTCAGAAGTAATCAAAGAACTGAGGTTTTCTATCAAAGCACCTGATTGCACTTTAAACTTTATTTTTCTATGGCATTGCGGGAACGGAGAATTCTTCTCATGATTTAGGAACGATTATGCACGTACTCTCTATATAGTAAGTGTACTATTCCACCGTACCCTATATATAGTAAGTGGCGAGCTGAGGCTTGTGCTGTGGTAAACCAATCACCCTAGAGACCCCGAGGTTCCCTCGGAGGCACAGTTCAGCACCGGGGCTGGGAGAACGTGTGCTGGGACAGGAAGAGGCCTTGCTAGTTTATTTGAGTCTAATGTACACAGAAGAGACCCTAGGATTTCATTTCCTAAGCAAAATTTAGTCAAATATTAGAAACTCTGTCCTCATATTGCTTTCAGATCCAGGAGATGCTGCTTTCCTGTGGGATTTATCCTTTTTCTTATTAGAAGCTCAACATCTGTTCTTTGGCGGCTGAAGCAAAATGTGGCTAATGGATTAAAAAAAAAAAGGAAGAAGAAGAAGAAGAAGAAAGAAGAAAGAAAGGCAACTCGAATCAACAGCAGCTTCAAATCTCAGCAGTTAGAAAGTAGCACTCTGTGACTTGGCATCCTGAGAACTTATATTTCTGAAATAGAATAAAAGAAAAGAAAGGTTTAGGTTGAATATCAGAAAAATTGAGAAGAACAGCAAATATTGGAAGAAACCAAAAGCCTCAGGGGTATTTAAGTATACACTTGGACTCAGACGGAAGCAGGCATAGAAAAACAGACTGGGAGACAGCTGTGGGTCAGCAGCAAGAATCACCCTGTGACCCCAAAGAGGATCTCCCCGTTATTTATATGTAAATTTTCTAAACTTTTTAGGAAAATTGGGTACTATGGTAAACGTTTACTGTTGTATTGTGATTAAAATTATGCACAAAATATTGGATGTGTTTTTAATCCTTTTCTCTTTGATCTTCTCCAAGTGCTTGAACCAAGATGAATATAATAATGTCCTATTTATAAAAAAAAAAATGTAAAGACTGAACCTTTGTCTTTGTGGAGGAGAGATTTCTTTTCAACTTGCTGTCTCGTGGCTCCTCCTAGAAATGAGCCATTGTTATTACCGAGGAGAAAACACCACTTAGTTATTTAACTACACGCAGGGGTGCATGAGAGACGGAGCAGGCGTTTTACACAGTCACAGCTAATCTGTCCTTTTGGCAAATGTAGGTAACTGAAAGCTTATCCCTTTTTTTTTCTATTTTATTAAACGAGAGAGAAAAATTCAGGTGAAATTCACTAATGTTTGGTAGCAAGCCCAGCAGCCTCTGTGCTGATTTGTTCTGATTTACGGCTTTGAGGAATAACTGTGCAAGCTCCTGAGTTTGGTTAATACAGGCTTTGCTTTTCAATTAATTTAGGATTTCAGACACAGTGTAATTCCAGTGTTAACAACCCAGTGTTACCAATCAAAACAGAAATCTCTTCCTGATCCCTGCTAGTTTGCAAAGTGGAGAACATAGAGGATTATGACTTACCTCTTTGTACATTCTCGGCAAGCTGCAAGTTCCTTTAGACAACACCCACACCAGCCAGCCCAAGGCCCCCGCCTCCTGCCTCCTGTTTCCTGTCTCCTACTGCTCTTGCTCAGCTCCACCCCAAATGGGGGCTCACCGTGGGACCCCGTGCTCCGTCTGATCTCCGCTTCTTGATTTGATTCATTCTCATCAGTTCTAGTCCCCTCTCAAGGTCAGTTCCAAGAGCCACGTTCCCTATGGAGCTTCTCCAGTTCCCTGCTGCTGCGAGCCGAGTCTCTTGTCCCTGTCCAGTGTTTGTGTCATAGTCTGACTTTGTCTTGGCTTCAGCTTTCCCTTTTCCTCCTGTAGAAGATACCAAGGGAGAGACCAGATCTTAGTCACTCATCGCTATGCATCATTTCTGTGTGGCATGAAACCATCCTCAATAATGGAGCGTACAGTCTCTATTTTGGGCCCTGGGTAGGCACAATGAAAGACTGTAAATTACTACCCCGAAAACTCAGTAGTTGGTTGGGTAGTTAAGACTTGGGCAAGGATAACTGTTCCATGGGGAGGAATGAAGAAAATTCAAATGAGAGATGATAAGTGCCATGAAATATTCACAGAATGGAAATGCTATTGTGTGATGGGTAAAATTTGGGGTAGTTGGAGCATGCATGAAAACCTTCCGGAGAAATCGTGAGCTAGCGCATGAAGGACACTGGGGGCGAAGGAAGGAATCGATGGGGAAGCCAGAGTTCCAGAATTCAAAGAGATCTGAGGAGCAAAAGACGGAGCTGGATGAACAGGGGTCTTCAGAGCTCTTGTAGGCTGAGGATATGCTTAGAAATAGCTAAGAGTGCCAATCACAAATCATGGCAAGATGACTTTCCAGGGAGGGTCATTTGGTGTTTGTGTATAAGATAGAAGGTGGGAGGTGAGGAGGTGAGGGGGATTGGTGAGGTGAAGGAGGTGAGGCTGGTCACGTTAGCCTGCTACCCATATCGCGTAGACCTTCCCACACGAGTAGGAAGAGGTTCTCCCTGTCAAGAGCAACAATTATTTACACGTAGGTAACAGTAGAGATGTTCATGAAGGAGTCGTTGTTTCACAAAAGACTCAACACTCCTCTAAGGACAGTGAGCTCTTCTGGTGGGTACAAAGTTATCTTTGTCTTTCACAAAATGCATTCAGGAACAACCGGGGAGCAGTTTGAGGAGCATCTGTATCTGCTTAGAAAGTGTCTTGAGCAGAGTTCTCCACTGCTTCCCTTAGGATTTCAGGCTTCCTCGGCGGTCTGACCTTCAGTGATCTCCAAAGTGGATATCTTAAGCTTCACGGAGGTAATCAGGACAGCGTACACATTTATAAAACAATCTTACAGATATTTTTTT